TTTTTTTTTTTTTTTTTTTTTTTGCAGGGTGCCGATGACCCCCAACAGGCAGGTCAGCCGACCGGTCGGCTGTCGGCAGCCGACCAGTCAGGGGCCGCCGACCAGAGGGGGGTGCAACTCTGCCCCAGGGGTAAAAAAACCCCGAAAGGACCCTGCGGCGCTTGCGCGCGATTTTGCGCTGGGTGGCCTGGGGTTTGGACCGGCCGGGCATCCCGGGCGGGTCCCGGGCGAGGTGGGGGGTACCCGGGCCGCCCGGATCGTAGCCTAGAACTAATTAGAAAATATTTTAGAAGTTAATTAAATTATTTTCGTTCGAATTAACTTATGTTTTCCTAGGCTACCAGCCAGACCGCCCGGGTCCCAGGTGGCCAGCCCGTGCAAGGATCAAGGAAGGTCCCAGAAAAAAAAAAAAAAAAAAAAAAAAAAAAAAAAAAAAAAAACACCGAAAAAAACTATGTTATGCCGAAAAATAAATCGAACAACTTTTCCCTCAGGGTCACATCGAAATTCCGCCTCAAGTGCCGCAAGGGATTATCACTTTCACCCACAAAAAAGTAGCTAGTACTGACATTACAAATTACAGACCAATCACACTGATGCCTGCACTTTACAAAATTTTCACCAAAGTTCTTACAGCGAGACCTCAAAAGGTGCTCCCTCAGCTGATTCACCCTACGCAAACTGGGTTCGTCCCTGGCAGACAAATCCTTCATAATGTGATGATTGTAGAGCAATTAGTTGAATATATATTGAGAGGGGGAGATAGTTTTGCCATCGTTTTGCTTGATCTCGAGAAAGCGTACGATCGAGTAGGTTGGGAATTTCTGCAGGCAGTGTTGACAGCCTTTGGATTTGGGCCCAAATTCAAACATGCAGTATCTAGTCTTCTTTCTAATGCTACTTCGCGAGTGTGTGTCAATGGAGTGTTGTCTGCCCCTATTCAGCTCAGTCGGTCGGTGAGGCAAGGTTGTCCTGTTGCACCACACTTGTACATTTTGTACGTTGAAATCATGCACATCCTTATCAGGAACAACCCAGATATTCCGGGAGTGACACTTCCTTCAGGAGCGGCTCTGAAATTTGAAGCCTTTGCGGATGATTCTGTGGCATTTAGCCCAATCTCAGATCATTTCTTTTTTGCTCTGAGAGAAACAGTCCAACTCTTTTGCCATTTTTGCTCTGAGAGAAACAGTCCAACTCTTTTGCCATTTGTCGCAGGCGGCAGTGAATTGGTCTAAATCCTCTGTTTTGATACCACCCGGGATACAGCCTCCTTATCATTGGGGCCTTCGGGTCGTGATTCCATCTCAACATGAACGTCTGTTGGGCCACTGTCTATCATTCGATCCACAGCAAATGCATGACTCTTCACAGTCTTTTGCTCAATTGCGTGCAGCACTCCTATTATGGACCCAACACAAAGGTACCAGTTTGTTCGGGAGAGCGATAGTTATCAACAATGCAGTTTTGTCGACATGGTGGTATAGACGCTCTCTTTTTCAATTAGACCCCCCTTCCCTTCAGATGGTTAGACACTTCGTGTCTCACTATTTGTGGAAGGAAGAGATGAATGGCGATAACTTTTTGCCAAAGGTCTCTTGGCAGACTGTCGTACAACCGAAACGTCGTGGAGGTCTCTCGATTTTGGACCCGAAAAGCCAGATTACTGCTCTGTTAGCTTGATGGGTGCCATGGGCAATCTTCGAATCACCACACACGCCATGGCGACAACTGACTGAATTCATGCTTTTTTCTTTCTTGGACTGGTCTGATCTGCGTTGTCTTTGGTTAGCTCTGTTTTTTCCCGAATATCTTCGTAAGCAATTGCCACCAGGGGTGTGGGTTGGTATTTTGAAGGCGTGGAGAGCTGTTTGTCCTTGCCTACAGCCCCCTCCGATGATTTTTTAGAGACTGCTTACCCAACCCTTGTTCAATAACCCTTACATTTTGACGGTTGATGGATTACCATTTGCATGTTTTGGGCCTGGTCATTTTTGAAATGCATGGATGGGTAGAGGAATAGGCACCCTTTCCGACTTATGGGATGCCGATTCTGCAGATTGGAAAACATTTGACTCGCTGGCACCCAATTTGACTGGTCTGTGGCGCCAACAGCAGCATCTTCAACAGTTGCAAGATGTGGTGCCACAGAACTGGCTAGACATTTTACGGAAAGGGCTTGAAGTGGCCGACGGTATGTGGTACAAACAAGAAGGTCAGGTCATGCCGTGACATGTTTGGAGAAAGGAGACCTATTCAGAAGTGGCAGACATCCCCTATTCATGTTGGGAAGTTCAAGGTGATGCCTTTTCATTGGGGGAACCTTTGCAGTATTCACAAGACGCAATACCCTTGCCTCCTCTGGAACAGCTGCGGCCTGTGTGTGTTATCGAACAAGAGCA